GTTTCATCAGAATCGGTGGAAAACTATAGCTTCAATCCTGCTCACGAACTGTTTTTAACAAATTTCGACGCGTTTTAACAAAGTCAATGGCAATAACTCAAAAACCATTCATCGAAAATGCGTCAAGTTAGAATTTGTCCGAGATCTTATCAATTCTAGTGATCACCCCAAGTTTCATCAGAATCGGTTGAGAACTGTACCTTCAATCCTGCTCACGAACTATTTTTAACAAATTTCGAAGCGTTTTAACAAAGTCAAGGGCAATAACTCAAAAACCATTAATCGCAAATGCGTCAAGTTAGAACTTGTCTGATATCTTATCTATTCCAATGATTATGCCAAGTTTCATCAGAATCGGATGAAAACTGTAGCTTCAATCCTGCTCACGAACTATTTTTAACAAAATTTCGACGCGTTTTAACAAAGTCAAAGGCAATAACTCAAAAACCATTCATCGCAAATGCGTCAAGTTCGAATTTTTCTGATATCTTATCAATTCCAATGATTATGCCAAGTTTAATCAGAATCGGATGAAAACTGTAGCTTCCATCCTGCTCAAGAACTATTTTTAACAAATTTCGACGCTTTTTAACAAAGTCAAGGGTAATAACTCAAAAACCGTTCATCGAAAATGCGTCAAGTTAGAACTTGTCCGAGATGTTATGAATTCCAATGATCACACCAAGTTTCACAGAATCGGACGAAAACTGTAGCTTCAATCCTGCTCACGAACAATTTTTAACAAATTTCAAGGCGTTCTAAGTCAAGGGCAATATCTCAAAATCAGATGAAAACTGTAGTCTCTGTAGAAATGTTGACGGACGGACCGACGGACAGGGGCAACAACAATATACGACCACATATTCATGTGGGCGTATAAATATAGAAAATAAAAGAAAATACACGAGGGTCTAGACACGGTTTGCCTCTTCCTTTTTCCAATATAGGCCTATCCACAATCCCGCTAGGCGTAAATTGCCTACTCGCACTATTCTATGGCTACTGTTTAAATTTTTAACAAACTCTGGACAATAAACATTAGTTTAACGTTGTATGCTTTACACGATGCAACCATCATTATAAAGTTTTATTGATATTTATGTTCTATACCTTGATAAAGAAAAAAATACAGATACATCAAAACAATTATTTCTATAAGAGTCTAAATAGATTAGGAGTCTATTATAGTATTTTCTTTAGTGAAATATATCAATAATTTTAGTTATTTCTTTTCTTCAAAAGAGAAAAATCGATTAAATTTATCCTTTCTTTCAACAATTTGAAATAACTACATCAATTCTGTAAAAGATTGATTTTCCCAAACTTGTCAACTCATTGCAACATTACTAATAAATAAACTGAGAACTAAAGATCCGAACCGCAGAGCGAAACCTGAAATAATTTCATCTAATTTTAACAGTTTAAGGGAGGGAACTGATTAACATGCAGCAATGAGGAGCCTTCAAATTAAATGCCTCTTCTCAGATCAACTCGCGATATACCAGCGAAAGTTACGACGTATAATAAGGAAATACAACATTTAGAAATATAAATGCTGATAAGATTACTATTGAAGGTTTTATTTTTGTGGTCGATGTTGTTTTAATCTATATAGTTTATATTCAGTTTTTTATTTGAAATCAACCTGAATATACCCGCCATAGTAAATGATAGCTTTACAGTAAGCAATAAAATACTGATTAAACCAATCTGGACTTTTCAGGATACGATCTTCATGACTTATTTCCTATGCTAAAATAATGTGGCGTAGTTTACTTAAAATGTATGCGTCACTCAATGGGTAACTGAACCTACTTATGTTCGCAATGAACTCAAATAAACTACATGATTAGTAAATTGTTCAGGTAATCATGAGTCTCCAGTAAGATATCATTTGATAGTACCTGTATTTAATCTACTAATAGCCGTAATTAGCCCTAATATACTAAATATGATGAGTAAATTGTTAAAGTAATCACATTAGTAAACTATAAAGAAAGATTTGAGAATATTAGTAATAAAGTCTACTATGATCTTCTTACAATATAAATCTTGCTCTTTCATCCTATTTCTGAAAATCTTCACCTATTCTCTAAATGTCAATAAGGGACTATTTTAACAATGTGTCGTTTTGACCTTTTTAATATCGTATCTTTCTCTGATTTGTAAACTTTATTGACAGTTAGTTAGTCTGTTGCTCATTTTTTACTCATTAATTTATTGATTCAGAATATTATAAGATGAAAACCGACACCTAACTGTCAGAACCCTACATAGACAATATCTCTTGTTACTTGAAAAAAAAATGGAAACTATGTTTACCATATATATAAAATGAATTTGTCTTAAAGGGATAGAAAAGCCTATTTATATTTATTTTCCTTGCCTATTTAGCTTAACTTCAGTAAACCGGGACAATTTTCAGAATAAAAATTCGGATTCTGATTCTGATTCAATAACACAAAGAAACTTCCAATGTCGTTAAAACAATGCAGTTATTACCATTGTCGCCTGGGAGAGGTCAGAGAGATTTGCACCAATTTCCTGGAGGAAAGCACATCCTTCGAGTTGCGGAACTTCTCGCATCTTTCTGTAGCAAAAGGCATCACCCCAAACCACCAGCCTTGTCTTTCGATAGACGATTGTTAGTCTATGCCAGCATGTTAATCTAAGTTCATTCTCCACTCAATGGCTGTCATTTTGAATATGTGGGTTGTCCGTGAAACATGGTGACTTGCCGTTAATATCATCCGTCGAAGCCTGTAGAGGGCTAGAATGCCACGGATGTATAAATGAAGTATAAGATATTAAATCGAAATGGCGATGATCAGATATATTCACTGAAGGTCAATTTGTCTATTTTATGTGATATGAAATGTTAAAGCTTTGTTAGGTTGATCAATATTGTTTGTGATTATTATCAGTAATAATGTCGAAAATGTCACAGGTATGATCTCTGTTATTACTACACGCTGCCGTTTAGATATGATGCCAAGAGATAATTTTCCATGCTCTGTTCTACAATACTAGTGAGTTCAAAACAACATTCTTTTTCTAGATTAATTTATTTTCAAATTTAACAATAAAACAACCAAAAAGTCGTTTCCACTGCTGCAAGCGGGCTACCCAACCCTTCTGAGGCTATTTTATTTTATTTGAGGGGAGGTATGATTTATCCATGCTCAAAACCAGCTTGTTGACTCATCCCCTGACAGCTGTAGTCTCGTGGCCAAACACCGTATTTTAATGAAAGTGTGTTTTAGAGCGCATACTATGTTTTATTGTTTTTTTTTTATCTTTTCAAATAGCCCTTCTGAACATATTTCCACTAGGTAGCACATTTTTACTCTTTTTCATTCAATTCAAAATAGGCGTCATCCGCGATATTCCGAATATTATTCCTGTCATAACATTGCTTCTAGGACACCAATTGACATAAGTTTGGTTACAAAATATATCTTCTTAGGGTCAATGAATTTTGAACTGAAACAGTTCAACAAAATCCGCTACTATCAGTCCAACCACAGCTCTTACCACTAGTATTTTACAATGTGTCTGATTGACATGAAATTATTCGATGAAATGAAATGACATGAAGATACTTTAACAAGCTTAAATATTTGCAAATTAGTAGATTATTTTCTTACTACTAGATATATTGGAGATATTTGGAGTATAGTCGTCTAATGATTTGCACCATCAGCCTTACTCGGTTTCAGTTTAAAATTCTTCGGAATTTAATTCCTATTCCTTTAAGTTCAAGGTTTACGATTCTGAAAGATTGTTGCTGCTATCTTTAGAACCATCCCCAGAGCTTGACGTGTCAATTACGAACCAAAGTTATTGGGTAGTTGAGGAATCGCCTTTCGCTTTGTGTTAAATATAACCGAAATTCTAACTCTCTTTGGAATTAGTATGAGAGTTTACAGAGCAATTTTTGTGTGTGTTTTTCGCTTGACGTAATCAGGAGGCAGATTTCATAAAGCAAATATATAAAATGATTTAAGTACCAACATTGGGTAAGTAATAGTCTTATTACTATGACAGTTGAACACCTATTACCGGAACACCTGGCCATACTTTTACATTGGGTTACACTGATGTTCTGAACTTCACACTTTAATGAAAAAAAATAATATGTACAGTAGATGTTTTCATATTGACTCTATGAAAGAGGCAATTCCTTGCCACTCTTAAAATCATTAGAAAATAGAATAAAATGCACAAGAGTCTGGACACAGTGTGCTACTTCTAGTTTTCAATGTATTAATTATCCCTCTCCGGCTACCATGAATTACCTACTCGCACCTTTATACGGCTACTATTTATATTTGTATGAAACTGTGAACAAATACATTTGTAAAACTGTGTATACTCTACATGGTGCAGCCATCATTATATATGTATTATTAATGTTCTATTCGGTGCGACTTTGATAAAAAGAAAATACAGATACATCAAAACAATAAATAAAAAATCTTTATCGATTTCAACTATTTCTATAAGAGTCTAAATAGATTAGGAGTCTATTATAGTTTTTTCTTTAGTGAAATATATCAATAATTTTAGTTATTTCTTTCTTTCTAAAGAGAAAAATCGATTAAATTTATCCTTTCTTTCAACAATTTGAAATTGTTGCATCAATTCTGTAAAAGATTGATTTTTGCCAAACTTGTCAACTCATTTCAACATTACTAATATATCGGTTGACTCAAAAGAAAACGGGTAGTGTCTCAGCCGTTCATGAACTGATCTCTTTAAAAATTCTCACAAATATTATTCAAGATGTCTTTCTCATCGACTAAAGATTGTAGAAGTACGTAACCAAAAAATTCAATTGACATACTGGGCAGTTTCGATAACATCCACATCTTGGAGGTGTATCTGGGAGAATACCACCCGTTGAACTTTGAGAGGTTTTTCTTTTTGAGACACCTGATATACACCAAGTAGGCTCTACCAACGACCCAAACGCAACCGGGTATAAAAAAAGCAACATAATGGCGAAACATGCTATTGCAGCTATTGAACTTTTCAAATGCGTAATTTTAACAATCAAAAGTGAGTAAGTATTTCATAATGAAAAGTTGTATCAGTTGTCTAGAAGGGTAAAGATACCTCGCTTGGCGCCACACTCGCCATAATTTTCTTACGTACACAACAAACATTTCAAAATTTCACTATTGAAAATAATGTCATCCGATTTTAACAGTACAAAGGAAGTAGCTGTTGAAAATACTTTTATCTAATTTTAACAGTTCAAGGGAGGTAACTGATCACAAAATGTTATCTTGTGACAAAATTTTCGAACACGTAACATTGAAGGGTTTGATTAAATTACATTTTCTGAAACAATAGGCCTCACCCCAACCCACCAGCCTTGTTAGCATACGTCAGCATGTTAAACTTAAGGTAATTATTCATTCAGTGTCTGACAATTTGCATAATGTTGGCGTGTGTTGTCTGCGAAACCAGGTTACTTGTGGTCAGAATAATCTGTCGGGAGCCAGTAGAGAAGGCTAGAATATCACGGATCTATAATGAAGTTTAGGTTACTCAGTTGAAATTGGTGATGATCAGATTTTATATTCGCTGGAGGTCAACTTGTCTATTTGTATTTGTGGAGTGTTAGACCTTGGTAAGGTTGATCTATGTTGTTTGAGATCATTAAATAATTATAGTAATAGTGTCTCTTTGTTATTACTACACGTTGCCATTTAGATATGATGCCAAGAGGTCATTTTCCATGCTCTGTTTTAATATTCTAGTGAGTTCAAAACAACACTTTTTCTAGATTAATTTATTTTCAAATTTAACGAAAAAAATGAAAACAAAAATAATTGAAAACAATCAGTCGATCCATTGCTGCGAGCGGGCTACCCAACCCTTCTCCATTTAATGTTATTCCTTTATTGGAGGGGGAGGTAGGATTTATCCATGCTCAAGACCAGTTTCAGGATATTACTCATCCCCCGACAATATAGTGTGGTTTTTAGTCAGATTTTAATGAAAGTGTGCTTTGGAGTACACATTGTGATGTATAGTTTTTTTCTGCTTCAGATAGTCTCCCTGAACACATTTTTTCTGCTGGGTGCCACTTTGGTAACCTTAGGGAAAAATTTGTATGGACCAAATTCAAAATCATCCCCGATATTCTGTCTACTATTTCTGTCTTGTCGTTGCTTTAAGGGCACCAACAGACATAATTTTGGGCCAAAATAAATGTTTTCAGGGTCAAGGGTCCATATAACGTTTTCACAAATTTTGATGTTGGTAAAGTTTGTCATTTTTGGTGTCCAAAAGAAATGAAAGTAGGTATAATAAACAGTCCATCAACATTCGCTTCTACCAGTCCAACAACAGCGCTTACTATCAGTCCAACACTATCTCCTACTACCAGTCTTACACCCTTCTACCAATCCATTTGCCTTCCTAATTCTGGTCCAACAACATCATCCACTATCAGTCCAATAATATCGCCCACTACAAGTTCTACAACATCCCATCCACCAGTCCAACAACATCCCTTCTACCAGTCTGTCGGTATCCCCTACTACCACCCCTTCAACATTCCCTTCTACCAGTCCTACAACATCCCCTTCTACCAGTCCTATAACATCCCCTACCACCAGTCCAACTACATTCTTCTACCACCAGTCAAACTACATTCTCCAACTACCAGTCCAACTACATTCTCCTACCACCAGTTCTATAAACATCTACTACCAGTCCAACTACATTCTCCTACTACCAGTCCAACCACTTTTACCACAAGTCCATCAACATCCCCCCAATACAAGTCCATCCCGTACTACCAATACAATAACCACCGTTAATACCAGTCCAATATCACCTAGTAACATTCGTACAACATCCCTACTACCAGTCCGCGGGCATCCCCTAGTACCAGCCTTACAACCCCCATCAACATCTCCTGCTATCAGTCCAACACCACCTGCTTCACCATTCAACAACAAACCTACTACTAGTCCAATAGCTCCACAATTTCCTACTTCCAGTTCATCTACCTAATACTAGTCCTACAACATCACTTACTACCAGCCCAAAAACATCACCTACTACCAAACCAAAACTACCAGTCAATCAGAATCTCCTACCAATAACTTTTGCTACGACTTCAGCGACATCTCCTACTACCATTCAAACACATCGCTTACCAACGGAACTATATTACACACTACCAGTCCATCAGAATCTCCTACCAGCGGTCTAACATCATGGCCTACTACCAGTCCAAAAACATCCCTCACAACCAGTCCTACAACATCATCTACTACCAGTCTAACGACTTTTCCTACTTCCAGTCCATCAACCGCACATAATACTAGTCCAACAACATTACCATTACCGGTCCTACATGTCCTGCCACCAATTGGACATCCTACTATTAATCCAACAAGAGTTCTCACTAACAGTTCATTCACTTCTCAAACTACCAGTCCATCAACCAAGTCTGTAACTAGTCCTACAACATCTATCTCTTATTACCAGTTCGACATAACCTCCTCCAAAAAGTCCGACAACAAATGTTGTTGGACCGATGAAAGGGGGTGTTGTATGACTAGTAGTAAATGTTGAAGAACTGGTAGTAGGGGATGCCGACGGACTGGTAGTAGGGGATGTTGTTAGAGTGGTACATGGAGATGTTGTTGGACTGGTAGTAAGGGATATTGTTTGACTAGTAGTGGGTGATGTTATTGGTTTTGAATAAAGGAGAATGTTGAATGGTGTAGTACTGGTAGAAGGAGATGTCGTTGGACTGGTGGTAAGGGTTATTATTGGACTAGTAGTAGCGGATGTTGATGGACTCGTTATCGTACTTAGTTGAAATTTTTGGACACCAGTAATGACAAACTTTACCAACATCAGTATTTGTGAAAACAGACTTCTTACTTTTATTGTGTATTGAACATTTTATTTTAAATTTTCACGACCATAACCTGTCCACGGGGGGTACAAAGAATCTTAAATGATTTTCTTAGCCCTAGAAGCAAAGTAATGGCAGAAATATAAAATAGCGATGATGGCGGCCATTTTGGATTTGGTCCATAACAAAAATTTTCAAAAGGGTGTCAAAGTGGCATCTAGTGGAAATTTGTTCTGAAGGGGTGTCTGAAGCAGAAAACAATAAAACGTTGATTATATTTCTTAATATGTAAGTAAATAATTGTCTTATATCAATATTTTAAAATGTATACATAATATATGGTAGATAAATAAATATTATAAGACATCTGTAGAAAGTTACTTAATTGTGGTATACTTGAACTACCCTCGATTTGCAGAACTACATCAATCAGGGGATTATCTGATATCAATATTTTAAAATGTAGTGATAGAATTCTTGAGAGACTATAAGAGACTATATAAGATCTATCTGAAAATAAGAAATTATTTATAACTGGTTTCCTCGATCTGAAAATGAAGGTTAAGTATATAGGGTTAGGGATAATAATCATCTGCTTTTAATCAATATGCAAATGAGCTACCGAACTCTCTAAATTTGGAACTAAATGACCAATAAAGGAAAGTTGTATTAAAGACAACTAGACATGCATCTGCCTGTAACCTGTACTTGAAAAAAATCAAAAGTTAATTAATTTGAATCTTCAAAATGGCATCTGTAAGAAATTCACATCGACAAAGGTCTTAGTGAAATCCTTGTTCAATTTAAGAACTGTACAGGTTGAAAAACGTCTGCTATATTTACAAAAAAAAACAGTTGTTTGAGAGATGAGATAATCTCCATTTTGTCTTCAAATGAGTCATTCTAAAGAGAGACGTAATAATAAATCTCGATTCTTATAAATTTAAACTGGATCATCGCTACCACTGTATCAAACGAAGTGTTCTTACAACTAAGTAATGATAAATGGTGGAGCACTATTCTGAAAGTAATGCTATAAAATCAACTATTCTAAAATATATAACAAACTCCCAGCCACCACTTATCTGAAATAGATATAATTCAGCCTCGATGAAAATTAAAACTTTGTTCTTCTTTTGGAGGAGGATCCATGTCATCAAGGCTTATTTCTTTTCTTTGACGGACTTGTTTTTCAGGTTGCCTTTTCTCTTTTAATTTATCTCGTATTTCACGAAGATACCTCTGGCGTGAGGCAACCGCATCGTCCATCTTCTTCGTTTGGTGGTTTTCGAAGACCTTTTGTTTTTCAATAAAGGCCTTGATGGTATCACCAGTTTCTGTTCGCTTCATTGCACGAACTCGTACAATTCTTTCTTCTTCGAGCTGCTACAAAATTAAAGAGAAATAGGAGTCAGTAAGATTATGATTGTGCATACTATATAAGGTAATAAAACAAATTACTCTTAAAATAGATCTAAATGCCTGAACTAATGATGATAATGGTGAGGATGATTATAATGATTTAAAATCTAAACGCTTACTTTTCGGCGCCGCTCAGCCTCAAATAGAATATTAAATTTTACAGCTATTCACTAAGTGTCTTCTATGCGTTACTACGCTACGATTTGCATAATTAGCGTTGGAAGTTCGGCACGTATTGTGACGTCATGATTATTGCGGAGCTCCGGATAGTCACGAACTATTACACATATACGTAATAAAGCTGGAAATCTATAAACCATTAAGCTACGATTTCGAAATTCATTAGAATTATATGAATTTTAAACTTTTGTGTGGAATTTATCATTAAAAATGAAAGAAAGAGATTATTGTAGAATCTTTCTTAAAATAATCACATCTAGAGCCACTCGCAAAGTCCCACAATAATTAGTTAAACAAAATCAAATCAAAGGGAAATAATCCGCTTATCAACTTGTTACGCTTTGTAAAATATAATTCCTATTTTGGGCTTGCCTATTATTATGATCTAACGAGAAGGACCGGTAAAAAAAAATCCATCTTTACGAGCCTTTAAAATGAATCGACCATCTATCTAGTTCCCGAAATAAGATTACAACTGTAATAATAATATTAATATATATTATAAATATATATAAATATAAAAACTGTATTAGAGACAAGCAGTTGCACGAGCCAATCTTCCCTTGGATCTTTCTACATACAACAATAACATATTTACATAATGACAACGTGAAAAAAAAAAGGGATTAATGATAAAAATAAAAATATAATAAGTAGTAAAATGAATATAGGAAAATATATGGTCACGATAATAATGTGACAAACACTTGAAAATAAATTGAACTAAAGGTAATATTTACATATATTATGTATATTGAAGAAAATATAAAAATATTAGTAACATAATAACATATAATGATCGTAATTCCCTTTTCAGCCTTGTCTTAAAACTCTCTGCCTGGGTGGGGTATTGAATTCCAGAGTAAACTAGCTTAGTATTTTTATATGTTCTTTTCATTGTCTTGATACGACACTTCGGAAGATGTAATGAGTTTTTGGTTTCCGAAAGTAGACAGAGAATTGTAGTAGAAATTGACTATTGTAAACATTGGTAATTTTGAAAGTAATTAAACAGTTTCCATTCATAATTTCTAAGTCAGTATCCCAGAGTTATATTTAATCCGTTCTTCAAAAATTTAATTGAGAAATCAAGTCTGCTGATCTTGCATCGTAGTTCGCGTCAAGATACTGCGCGAAGTCAAGTATAGTCCGGAAAGAATTACAGAACTGTCACACCCAGTGTTATAATCATCCAGAGCAGTCGCCTACAGTAGCAATACTGGGCTTCTATAGATTCATACAGTGTTTGTTCTTCATTTTGTAGATGGTTGGCAAAAGGAAGGAAGTTGGTTGGTAGATGACAAGTAAGGAAGTTTGGAACCTTGGGTGTTAATTATGAATTTAAGAGTGGTACGTAGCGCAACATATCCAAAATATATTATTTGAGTTACCTCCCATTGCACGCTTTCTCCTTAGAAAGAAACTGAGTGCCCCAGTTGCCAAACTGTATGTAGAAGCAGTGGGGCCTATCCGTTGATAACAGTCGGTGAGGACCACCTGTTTAGAGAAGTAGTCCATTATCCCATTTAGAGTCCACAGAGCTGCGAAAATCTTTACAATTGGATCGCTATAAACGTCATTTATGCGTATTTCGAAAGTAAATTCAATGAATTAAATAGTATTTTATTATTAACATGCATTTTGATAATTATATTGGCCACAAAAAGTGGTGGAGACTAGCCTCATTTCCTCTGTCCCCACCGTGAACATCGAAGCAGTTGGCGAGTAGGCTTCCGGTACCACTACTTACAATATTTTGGCAAAAAATACTTTAGGTCTGTATTTCAATCAGATTGTCTAGTCTGTTCACTGGCTTGTTGGAAGATAATTTTAATGATAGTTGCATGATTGCTGCTAGTAAATTTCGCAATATCAATCGTAAACAGCAAAACACTCCGAGCCAATGATTTTCAGCTCAACATTACTATATATTTTAAAGGAAAGAAAACACCATACAGTGAGTCTTTAGTTCAATTAGTACTAACATTTACGTACATGAGAAAATAACACAAATACCCAATTCTACGTGATTTTGCATCGACTCGAAGGTGGCAATCGAGTAAAGTATTTCTTTTTCCTCGTTCAAACTGAAATCGAAAAGGTCAACCGAGCTGTTTGTCAATTAATCTACCTTTACTTCCATTGAATGTCTATTTACTTTACCTGTCATCACTTTACTTAGTTAAAATATAAGTAAGACTGTGGATTTAGTAGTATTTTTCATGTTAGATCTCACAACAATTGATCTACTTGGATGTTTGTTCTCATAATGCCCTCAATTTACAGCCTCTTGTCCTAATTAAAACTGGAATATATTCTCATTGCTTATCGAATATTACGATAGAACACGAATGTACCATCAATATGACCACAGAGAAGCAATATCATGATTTTCCTCAAATATCTCTCAAAATGGAGGTTACAAATTAACAACTAGTCTCATTATTTTGTAAAATATGTATAAACGAGGAAGAATCAAAAGGATAATAGAGCGATTACCACTTCATGCTCCAAACCTTGTTTTAGCTCACTCACCGTGTTTATAGCTCGTCATCTCTTAAAATAGTTTGCCCGCCATGTTATAGCCTTCCCTATCTAGTTATAGCCCAACACATCTTGTTATATCCCAACAGCCCAACATAACTTGTTATAGCCAAATAACCCACTATATCTTGTTATAGTCCAACATATCTTGTTATACACGACCTTGAATAATTAGAAGATAATTCATGTTTATAGGCTAATTAGCAGATGTTTATTGATTAAAATATTGAATATATGTTGTCTTAAGTAGAAGAACTATGATTATAGAAATCTTTACCATGTTAAAGTACAAGAAGTATATTGACTTATTTTCAGATATCTATTAACTTGGCTAGACTTTATCATGTCCTGATGAGGAGTTTTTGTCTAAAACGCTGATCGACACTCGACAGCATAGGTTAGCTCACTTACTTTGATGCTCGTATCAAAGTTAAGCTGATCGCACTGTGTTTTTCTGTCTTTCCTGTTCAGAAAGTTCATTTATTTTGCTCGAAAGCGTAACTAACACCTAACATCTGAAAGTTAACGCCCATTGTCAATACAGGTAAATTCTTTCTCGCTCCAAAATCAGTGAGTTTACTTGCTCGTAATCCTGGGGCTAACTAAAGTCATTTCCAAACATTTCTGAAGAGATTATATGTGTTTTATTGGCCGAAAGCGCCATTTGCTTATAAAAGAAATAGTAAGGCCTTAAGTACAAAACACAAAATCTCAAATTTACATGCTAAAATTCATTATTTTACGAACGAGTTTTGTTTATTTGTTAAATGTATGATGTTATGGAAAAAAAGATCAGATCGCTTTACAAAGTCGTGCTGGATTGTGGACACCATCAAATGCCGAAAATAAGTAATAATTTATTGGTATTTATGATTATTGGTGTATAGCTAGCTGCAGTGATAACATAACAATATAATCATACAATGGTGATCATAGATTTGATTAGTCAAAATCGTGAAATAATTATTTGGTTTCCACAATCCAGTACAGATTTATCGAGCATGGTCGATTTATCTTCAGGATACGTTTAACATCAAAGACATTCTGGGTATCTTTTCACGCCAAATTATTCTTTAGTAACTGAAAAAAATCCATGTCTGAAATTATGCGAAACCGCATAATGCGACTGTAAGGCATGTTTCAGTAGTAAAAAGACTAAAATCGATGTTTCAAGTAAATCACTATTACGTAGAAATTCCATATTGATTAGGTATTAAAGCCTTATTTAAAGCATTATAAATGTACCACGCGATGGATCAAACTCTATTCCTGTTGACCTTGTGAAGTTCAACACGCATTTACCATTGAACGTGAAGGTGATTCACGTGAGGTTGTTTCTGAACTGTAAGCTTATTAGTTGGATTGCGTGCATTCTAATATTACTTACGCTGATCAATCTCTATAGGTCTGTTACATGTTCCAGCTATTTATGAATCTAATCTTCTTTCAGGACCGTAAAAGATACTGTAAACAATGTTGAAATCGATTTCTTATGTTATATAAGTTACACTTCAAACTCTGGGAAATGCATAGTCGTTTGAATTTGTAAATTAATCGAGACCACAAGTTTTTGCTCGTCAAAGATCCCCACGAAAATTTGGAATTGAAATACAGATACCTATACCGCCGTGCTTGCCTTATTGCTCTCTGCCTTACTGTGCTTTATTTGCCTAATCTAGAGCAGAAAAGCAAACCCATTTCGCAGTGCTTCGGAAAATGCAATACTTTGCAGCTAATCACTGACTTTTACCATGAAGTACATGAGATATCGCTTTGTCTTCTATTGGTAATGTACTAGAATTTACTCAAAAACGAACTGCAGCTTCCTATTCCGTGTCTGACCATTTAACAAAAAAGCGTCCAATTCTACTCTATAATTGTATTTAAATCAAACGAGGACATGTAAACTTTCGAGAAATGTCAAATAATGGACAATAGAGAAAAGATAAAAGATGCTTGGTAAATAACTCGCCATTATCTGCATTCAATTCTTTTTCTTTGGAGACTTTGAGTAAAATCGGTGTGAATCTTAAATTTGGACAATGAGAAAAATGTTGTTCAAATATTGTATTGAGCTGTCAAAGAGCTCTTCTCTCTCTTATGTCTACAAATTTACCATTTACCAAGCAACAATTTATTATAAATTCTACAAGTCTTTCCTTTAACTCTATGCTCACGATATTCAACCAGGATCCAGAAATAGTGTATGCACTGCGTCATAAAGATTTAGAAGAAATCTGAAACCATTGTCGAATACTGGAAAGTCATTGTAAAATTCTAGGTAATGTGTAGCATTCAAGGTTGCACAGCAGATGAATGTCTAATTTCCACTCTTTAAAATGGTTAATAAATGAACCAAACAACGTTATTATCTATGTAGTTTCTCCACGATTTCTCAAAATGCGCTATCGATCTGACTAACCCAGTTTAGAGATTTTCCCCGATTTTTACAGCAGCCTAACAAGATATAACTCAATATTAAAGATAAGATGTAAATTATTGAAAATAAGGTTTCAAGATTGAGTGTAAAAGGAAACTTAGATGATATATTACACGCTCATTAGTCAAAATATTTGTGTTGATATATAAATAATAGCAGTCATAAACAGTCTTTCCATTTTTATTTCTTACCCAGATCATGAGTCTATCAATTCAACCACTACATGTTAATGGTGGGTAAACAAAAATAACCAAATTGACCCAGAAAGATAATAAACTGACCCATTTACTATCTGTGACCCATTTCCTTGATAATCCAAATTCTGTTGACCAATTCGATTTGGTGGACAAAAACTAATAGAGACAGGTTTTCTTTTGTCCATCGTCTGATCCTTTGATATCTAAGTGATAAAAACTACTCTTAGTAGATTCTATTTTAATCACCCCTCAGGGCAATTATCCACTTCATATTTCATATTCTTTATCCAATTCAGAAAATAATCTATGTCACATGAAAGTCAGAAAATATACCCATTCACCCAATTTCCATAATGAATAGCATCAATTTACCCAACATCAATTCAGTCATCTTTCATTGACTAAGCAATTTCAGTTTGTGTGAATTTATGTCGAAATCAATTCATAACCGTTTATTCGGTCACATGTGACGATGAATTCAATGTAGCGTACCTTATTATAAAGTTTAGTTTCAATGCATTTAATCATAAAATAGACACATGGGATTGAAACACGAAACTAACTAAAGTTTGATGTGTCTTTTCATACATTTATTTGCATGTACTCTCATTTTTGCCGATGTCATTCGACTTTGAATTTAATAGACGGCAGGATTTCTATTAGTATTCATTATTTCAGTATTCTCTGAAAAATTACCAATATTTTTTAACAAAAATTAAGTCCTTTTACCTTACAAACTAAAGTTTCATAAGTTACTGAAATTCTTGCAAAAATTCCAAATATCGTATTAAGTTTCAAAATCTAAAAGTTAAAACGCACAATGCTTTACTTGAGAACAATATATTATATTAATTTTGATTAAAGTACTTGATTTCGCTTTATTTCTGTGGGTTTCCAATTTACCTCAATTAAAGAACAATTTGAAAGACTTTGGCCTTGCACTATGTCTTGTTGGAACTAAAATGAAATTTTATATCCTATTTTTCTGAATCTGCTTAATTAGGTCAAATGAAGACGGGCAACGCAACACAATGTGCTATTGGGGGATTTTCTCCGGATAACGGCATTAGCAAACCCTTTTTCGTGTTGTGATATTTTTAACATGCACAGACTATACACGACACCTTGATTATCGCCCCCAAACCACAAACATTGGGTCGCTTTAATGACCGACTAAACGGGTTGTTTATAGTGTATATTGATTTAGATCCTTTATCTCACTGACCACTGTCCACTCTAGGCTAATCTATTTCAGTAAATATATAAAAAGATGTGAATAAATATTTTGATGTCTATACATCATATTATTAGAAATACATGTAGCGACATTGTTAGCCTTGAGGCATAGTTAACATGTGAACAGTTGTTGACAGGTTGTGTTTTTTAATCTTTGACCATAAACAGATCCTAGGAATCAAAACAAATTTATTTTGTTTTTGAAAACCATTTGATTGATTATAACAGAATAATATAAAGGTAGACATGACCTACAAACAGATTCATGAATTTCAAATAGGATAGATTACATCATGGTCCACATACAGGAATCAACTGGGCTAAAGAATTTAACCACAATTTCCGTTTTGATGAAGCTTATCTTCTAAGAGCAACTATGCAATACAATTATAGCTAGAAGTCAGGTTAAATCTGAAAACAAGGTCCATTTTTCATCAAAATAATTGTTATTCGAAAACATGTTTCTTCTATTGTAATGGTGTCAATTATTTCTCATTTTAACTTGACCCTAGTGCGAATATGTCAACAATTCTAGTAATTAGATGACCAATGGGAAGTGAATAGTAAAACCAGACCACCAAGTGAGTACTGGACATCAATATTGACCACTGAACATTACAAGTTTATTTTCTGTACTTAACAGTTTACTTTAATCTCCTTGTTCTTTTCTAAACCTTTCAGGATTATATCATTGATCACTAGCATGTCCTTTGTCCAACTTAGATACATTTTCTATTTTCATATAAAAATCTA